AATTCCTGCTTCAAGGACCTGAGAAATCAAGATCTTTCTAGAGAACAAAGAGAGGTCACATCAAGAAGGCTCTGTGGAGTCAACCTCATACACCAGACAAAGAGAGAGAGACTTAATTCAAGTTTAGGTAATTTTGCTGGAGGGAGGCAAAGTGTTAACTCCTTAATCCCCTTGAGGATTTAGAGGTGAAAAGCATTATCTGGCTATGAGTTTTCAGAGAATATAGGAAAGAAAATTCTCGGGTCATCTTGAAGATTGGGAATCAGGAACCCATGGGACAAATTATGGTTAAGTCAAGATAATTTTGAGAACAATGGTTTGAATAGAATACCTACGGGTGAAAACAGCAATGCTCTAGCCCTACCCAATCAGGGAATACAGGAAAAGATCTAACTTGAGAGGAGATCCAAGCATTTATGAATGATCCTAAAATGGACCTATTTTGTACAGCAGGTCTCCAAGCTTTAGTCAACATTTCTTGTCTCTAGTACAGATTTGGCTCTTGTCAGCCTTCTATTTAGAGAATATGATTGCAAGAAAATCTACTTCACTTACTGAGTGAAAAAACATTTTTTTAATTCTTTACAGTACTTAGAACCTAGAAATTGAGCACAATGACTGTGGTCAGGATGAAAGGGAACCATAGCTTTCTCCATATCTACTTTATAAATGATTTTTAATTCTTTAATGAACAATTATTTCCATAAAGAAGTGATTCTCAGACTTTTCTGTCTCAGGTATTTTTTTGCTCTTAAAAAGTGCTGAGGACCCCAAAGAGCTTTTGTTTATATGGATTATATCTATCACTATTTTCCATATAAGAAATTAAAACAGAAAAGTTAAAAAATATTTACTTATCTATATATATAAAAGCCTAATATGCTAAGTGTCTGACCCATCGTTAACCGGCTCAGCCAGTCGCTATGATGCACACTGACCACTAGGGGGCAGATGCTCTGACCAGTAGGTTAGTTTGTGGCCAATCAGGACTGGGTGAGACGGGCTGGACATACCCTGGAGCCCTCCAGTGGTCCATCCCTGGCTGGCTGGCCCATATCAGCCCCGATTGGGACTGGATGAGACAGCCCTGACTGGCCCCAATCACCAGCCAGGCTAAGGGACCCTACCCATGCATGAATTCTTGCACCGGACCTCTAGTTTAATAATAAATCCAATACATGTTAACACATTTTTAAAAATAACAGTTTACCTGCCCTGGCTGGGTGGTTCAGTTGGTTGGAGCATCATCCAGACACCAAAAGGTTTCGGTTTGATTCCCAGTCAGGGCACATCCCTAGGTTGCAGGTTCGATCCTCAGATGGGATGGGTATGGGAGGCAACCAATCCATGTTTCTCTCCCTTCCTCTCTCTCTCAAATCAATAAAAACATATCCTCGGGTGAGGATTTAAAAATGATAATAAAATAACTATTTTTCTATAAAAAAAAAAAACTTAATATAAAGAGTATCACTATTTCATTTTTGCAAATCTCACTAATGTAGACAATACCTGGATTCTTGTATCTGCATTCAATCTGTTGTAATATCATGCATCTGAAAACCTCTACTATACACTTGAGAGAGAATGAGAGGAGAAAAAAAACACAACCCAATAATGTCTTCGTATTATTCTGAAAATAATATATTTTTACTTCACATGTACCTTAAGACCACATTTTGAGATGCACTGCCATAGAACACTTTAGTGATCACTTTTAAAAGTGTAACTTGATTCTTTGTTATTAGATTTAATAAGCTTCTAGGCCTTGGATCTTTTTTCCTTTTCTTTAGGCCTTGGATCTTCTAGATGAGACAAAGGAGGAAATATGTGGAATATGGGGCCAAATTTTGGGGGAAACTAACATTGATTGAGTGCCTGTCATTTTCCCGGCTCTGAACAGAACTAAACTCTCATTTCACTGGGTTTCAACTGGTTTTCCTAATCTCAGAGGTCAATTTTTAAAGCCTTTTCAGCCCTAATCATTAACTATTTCAAACCTAGTCACAGTTTTCCAAGGAGCTAAAAAAACAAACAAAAAAACACAAATCAGACTTATTTATTGGCTTAGGGATTCAAAGTTGTTGTAGTAACACTAATAAATTCCATTACATCTCTCTTTTTTAAATATCTGTTTTTGGCTTACTATGTGTAGACTGTGGTAAAGGGCTTTACATGGATTATTCCATTTAATAATCGTATTAACTTTGAAAATTAGATATTATGGTCTTCATTTAATTGTTGATGAAACTTGTTAATTATTTTGTCTTTGTTTTGGGAGTTTGATGAGTGGACAGAGAAGAAAGAACAGTATAAAAGAGTCTCAATGATTACTTTTAACAGAATTTCACAGCTGAAAAGGACACTGAAGGTCATCTAGGTCAAACCTTTTTTTTGTTGTTATTCTTGTTCCAGACCATTTAAGCAACTCTGTTTTATCTGATATTACTTTTATTAGTATTTACTGACATATATTTTCCACCTCTCTCTTTCCATCTTTTCTTTGTAATTTTGCTTTAGTTATAACTCTAATAAACAATATATAATTAAATATGGGTTATTTATTTGTCCAATCTGAGTTTCTATCTATTAATAGAAAAGGTTAATCATTCATTTTATCATGGAAATAAAAACCTACAGCAAAGGGTCCAGCCGGTGTGGCTCAGTGGCTGAGCATCAACTTATGAACCAGGAGGTCACAGTTCAATTCCCAGTTAGGACACATACCCGGGTTGCTGGCTTGATCCCCAGTGTGGGGCATGCAGTAGGCAGCCGATCAATTATTCTCTCTCATCTTTGATGTTTTTATCTCTCTCTCTCTCCCTTTCCCTTCCTCTCTGAGATCAGTAAAAATATATTTTTTTTAAAAAGAATGAAGTCTGTCATTTGCAACAACATAGATGAAACCAGAGGACATTATGCTAAATGAAATAACCAAGTCACAGAAGGACAAATACCATATGATTTCACTTATATGAGGTACCTAAAATAGTTAAACTTAGTCCAGTGGGAGTGGCTCAGTGAGGTTAGTGTCATCCCGTGCACCGAAAGGTTGCCGGTTTGATTCCCAGTCAGAGCACATACGTTCAGGTTTGATCCCTGGTCGGGGTACAAATAGAAGGCAAGTGATTGATGTTTCTCTCTCACACTGATGTTTCTCTCTCTCTCCCTTCCTCTCTCTCTCAGCATGTTCGCATATCCTCGGGTAAGGACTTAAAAAATAATAAATAAATAAAATGGTCAATGGTCAAATTTACATAAGCAGAGAACAGAATCACAGTTGCCAGGAGCAGTGGAAGCAGGAAAGGGGGAGTTGTTTAATAAATTATATAAAGTTTATTATGCTAGATGCTTAAGTTCTAGAGATCTGCTGTACGACAAAGCACCTTTAGTTAACAATACAGTATATTGTGCACTTCAATCTTTGTTAAGAGGGTAGGTGTCAAAAAAAGAAAAAAGAGAAAGTGAGTCTCATACCACACACACACACACACACACACACACACACACACACAACCACCACCACCACCATCACACCACACCAAAGGACAGAGGAAACTGGGAGATTTTGTATATGTCTATTATTTTGATTGTGGTGATGATATTACAGGTGTTTGCACATGTCCAAACTCATCAAATTACAGTATACACATTAAATATGCACCATTCTTAGTATATCAATTATACCTCAATAAAGCTGTTTTTAAAAACTAAAAAACAGATTATCCAGCTCAAGCTATTACAAACATTGCATTCTTCTAGAATACGTTATGCAGTCAGAAAAATAGATCATTCGGGCTATCAAGGAATAAATTCTGGAAAATCAACATCATATAGCCTACAGTCTCTGATGATAAGACATTAAATAATTAATAGTAAATATCTTTTAAAAACCTGGTTCTGATATTCACCTTATGAACCCATCAGTTCCCAGACATTAGACTGTGCAACCCTTCTGGCCACACAACTAAGCCAGGTGCGCTACTTTGGGCCCTCCCCTGATTATACTGGGGTGTGGTGTACTCAAAGTCTAAACCAAGGCTACACCAATAATCATGGAGATTATCAATCAAACATCTGCCTAATCTACAGGGTGGAGGTGATGAGTTATGATGGACAAATAACCAGGAGGTTTGCAGAAAGAGACTAAAGTCAAAGTTGAAAAAAGTGGGTGCAGAACAGATAGAGGGGTCCTCAGGTTCTGGAAGTTTGTACTTCTCTGTGAGATTTCCATCAGGCAGAACAAACACTGACCTTCAGCAGGAGGAATTTAAGGATGGAAGTTCCCCAAAGCTCAGGAATCAAGTTCAGGGCGCCTGTGCTGCTAATCTAGCTTTGACCCCTCTCAGTTGGGATAGCAAGGTCTCTACCTGGTTCCTTGTGCCTCGGTGTCTCATGTTAGGATCTATTCTTGGTTTTTCAGTTTTTCCTACTTCCCAAGTTAAAATTCTGGCCTAAAAGATGACCCTAGGGTCCTGATATTGTTGATTCCAACTCCCCATCACCTGCCCATCTAAACTCCTTTCCTAGCTTCACCATCATTTTCTTTTTTCCCCAATAGTTTTCTTCTATTCACCTGTCACATCCTACTTTATTGAGCTTCCCCCTCTCAAAGCTGCCTGTCAAGACTCTAAACCAAGCATGTCAAACTCAAAGGCTAACACGGGCCAAATAAACAAGGCATGCAGCCTACAGGCCGCAAGTTTGGCATGATTGCTCTAAACTATTGCCTCTTGTTCTTCACCCTCCCTCAGCCCCCACTTCAATGTATCTGTGAGCTTTACTTTTGAAATGTCTGCTTCCTTCTCCAAAAGCAACACTTCTGTTTGAAACTATCTCTCTTCTTTTTTCAAAATGTGAGCATCCTTGAATGTATCAAAACTCAATTCACCATCCATATTCTTAGCAAAGTTATTTTAAATAAAAATAATCTGATCCTGTCACTTTTCTACTTAAAAACTCTTCAGCTGTTAACCAATGTAAATAAGATAATATTCACTTACCATGGCTTTCAAATCCTTTCCAAAAGGCCTTTCAAATCCATCTCCTCTTCTTTCCCACACAATCCAATAAATGCATTCTTTAGACCTCAGTTCAAATACCACCTCCTTATGATCTGTCTAAAAGAATGAATTAAAATAAAGGAGTGGAACTACATCAAACTAAACAGTTCTATGCAGCAAAGGAAATAATCAATATATTGAAAAAAGCAACCTTCAGAATAAGAGAAAATATTTACAAGCCATATATCTGATTAGGGATTAATATCAAAATTACATAAAGAACTTATACAAGTCAATAGCATAAAAGCAAATAACCCAACTTTAAAAATAGGCAAAGGATCTAAATAAACATTTTTGGGAAACCATATTAAAGCTTCCTCAAATAATTAAAAATTGTATGGCTATTCAATCCAGCAACCCTGCACCTGGGTATATATCCAAGAAAATGAAATTAATTATCTCAAAGAGATATCTTCATTCCTATGTTCATTAAAATATTATTCACAATAGATAAGATATAGATCAACCAAAATGCCCTACAATAGATGAATGGATGTAGATATTGTAGGATATATTTATAACCTGGCAAGTTATTCAGCCTTAAAAAAAAAAATCCTGCCTTTTGTGACAACATAGATAAGCCTGGAATTCCAAATGAATTAAGTCAGACAGAAAAAGACAAATACTGTATGGTATCACTTATATGTGGGATCTTTAAAAAAAAGTCAATTTCATAGCAACAAAGAATAGAAATGTGGCTTGCAGGAGCTGGGGAGTAGAGGACAAGAAAAATTTAGGTCAAAGACTGTAAGTTTTCAGTTATAAGCAAAATAAGTTCTGAGGATCTAATATTAATCATGGTGACTATAGTCAATAGTATTATATTGTATACTTAAAAGTTCCTTAAAAAAAAAAGTTCCTGCCAGTATATTTTAAGCATTCCCACCACACAAAAAAAGTATATGAGGTAATTAATTATCTCAGTGTTGGTAATCACTCCACAATGTGTATCAAATCAGAACATTGTACACTTTAAGTGTATATAATTATTTGTCAATTATTCTTCAATAAAGCTGAGGGAAAATGTTAAAAATAGAAGAGAATGAGTTGCTTCCTCATCTGTTCTCGAATAATAATTTACAAATGCCTTTATGATAACACACATCACATTGTTTACATGTCTGCTTTCTTCATTAGATTATGAACTCTTTGAGGACAGGACACATGTCTTCTTCATTGATAGTCCTCTGACAAGCATGGTGACTGGTGAGAAGTTAGCTGAAAACAAATGCTTGTTTAATGAATAACTGATTCATTCATCTCTTAATACCCTGGCCTATCTCTTAATCGGAGCTTCCCTAAGATACCTGCAGAAAATGTGCCTCCAGAATACATCCTAAACTATATGTCTATAATGTCCCTAAACACAAGGGAGCAGGTAAGAAAGAGGAGTGGGAATTTATTCCAAGTTCCAAACCCTCCTGATCTTCCACATTCTCCTGTAGTCACTGGCCTATTCTAGATGCTGGCTGAACAATGACATTGGTAAAATCTGTTCAGAATGACTATAATGTCCCTGCCTAGCTTGTTCTTGAATTCTTTCTTTTTTTTTTCAGTTTCTTAATGCTGTACCACTTGTCACCAAACTCACTGTTCCTATGGGACATAGAATGGTCCTTCTTTCACTACTGATATTAGTCTTGCTAATATGGCCACTCTAAAAATCTCACAATCTCTCTGTTGATAACCATTCAAAAGTAAATCATGAAGACTTTTTCCTTAACTTCCATTATTCCATCTATTATTTTTTTCTGTTATTGCTTTTATTCCTAAGCATTAGAAAAAAACTTTCCTATAACATAGTTACTGCATAAATGTAACTCCCTTCACAACCTACAATGCTTCTGGCCATCTCTGCAATTGTATCAAAGGAATTCAACAAAGCACCATAATTTTTAGAAAAAAATAATAGCTTATTGATATAAGTTCTTCCTTGAGAATGTCTTCACTATTCCAAAGATTTAGCTTTCATTGTAATTTTCTCTGTTCTGTCTGTCTCGCTCAAATTCTCATTGTGTGTGTGTATGTCTGTGTATGTCACTTCTGCTTCTGCAGACACTGAAATGACATGTTACACACAGGGAGAGAGAGAGAGAGAGAGAGAGAGAGAGAGAGAGAGAGAGAGAGAGAGAGAGGCGGGGGGGGGAGAAGAGGCTGAAGAAAACAGAATCTGAGGTCACTATAGGCAACTTGAAAATTTTTATTGGGATCAACATACTTTCCTTCACTTTTGTCCAAATACAAGCTCCCAGTAAACATGTCCTTGTCAGATACTACTCCACAATTATATGATTAAACAGGAACATCAGCTATAACTATGCCAAGGAATCCATGAGAATATTCAATCTGGAAAAACTTCAACCACAAAAGAGCACCTCCCAGGAGATGACGACAACTGTTTTGGGAAATCTTTTAACCACAAAGTCCAACTCCCCTTCACTCCTACAGCTTCAGTCACACATCTCAAAGGGCTGATCCCTTAAACTAGGACAACCTGACCCACATCAGCAGCCCAGAGGCATTATGGCAACATAACACCTTTCCAACAATTGAAGAAAATATGAGGGATGAACAATTGAATGACTGAAATTGAAATCCTATAATTGGTGATTTGTCAATAACTACTGACTTTGTGGAGTTTTCTTCATTCCTAAGCCAATCCTGACAGACACAATATGTAAATGCAAACACCAAAACACATCTGAAACCATTTCATTGTCTCATAGCAATGAAATGAAGAATAGATTCTCTATGAGGATAGAGAAGAATCTATCTCCAAGTTCACTATTCAATGAACACTAATTTTAAAGGCTTAAAGAAAAAATACTTTGGGATGCTGAATGTAAAAAGCTAAAATTCCAGAGGGATCAGCTCTGTTGGCAAGAAGTAGGGCATTGAAACCCAAAGGCTGTCCTGTTCATACTATGAAGTAGAATTGATAGTCCTGTTTCCCTACAGTTACTAACCTGCACTGGTCAAAGAGCCATCTGAGCTGAGCTGAACCGAGATATTTACTTGAGGGTTGGTGAACACACAATATACAGATGATGTATTATAGAACTGTACACCTGAAACCTATATAATTTCACTAACCAATGTCACCTCAATAAATTCAATTAAAACATAGATTTACTTGGATCTTAGAATTACAGCTCTCAGGTTGAAACAGGGACTTATCAGACTTCCACCCAATATTCCTCTACTTAACTCCCCTCCAAAATATCCCCATCTCATCTCCAAGTAACTGATATAACCTGGTGTGATGCATAGAGGATTTGGAAAGAAAAGTCCTGGGTTGGAGGCCTGGGTCCCAATCCTTAGATTTATCAGTCATACAACACTAGACCTACTTGTCTTCAACTACAATATGAGGAGACTAGACTAGTTAATTGCCAACATCTCATTCAGTTCAAGATTCTCTAGGCAGTGACAGAGAACGAACTAGCTCCAAAGATAATGATTTTCATGTTTGGAGAATTCTGATATTAAAAAGTTCTTCCTTGTACAAAGCCAAAATATGCCTCCAATGGGTTCTATCCATTTATCTGAGTTTTTGATACAACTCAAGTATAATCTCTCTTCCATATAACCGCCACTCATATAATGAAGACAGATATCCATCTCCTATCTACCTGCTTTTCACTTGGTTCCTTCATCTACCTAATCATCCTCCTTACTTTACTCAGAATACGTAACAACTGTCCACATCCCTATTGAAAAGTGGTCATCAGACCTGAACAAACAGTCAGAGAAACAAGCTGACAAATGCCAAGAGAACAACACTGCCACTTATGTTGTTCTGCTAGTACATCTTTTAATGCAACCCAAATCAGCATTACCTTTTCGGCTACTAAGTCACACTGTCACTGTCACCATACCTTTTTTTACTCATGAGTTCTTCCCAGTCATTAGATGTTGAATTTAGCAAAGTCAGAATTTTACTTTCATTTCTATAAAATTCATTTTATGAAATTTGAGCTATTTGGTGAGACAAGCTGAAATCTTCTCAAATCCTCAGTCTATCCTAAGAAATTTTGCCATCTGTTGACATTTTCATCCAAGTTATTGATAAAATATAATGATCATAACATGGTCAACAAAACAGTCCTGAAACAGACTCTTAGAGACTGCCCTCCATAATAACATAAATATGCAAGATTTGGATCTTCAGGCCATCAAAAGGTTAGATCCCAGTTTACTCCATCCTTGCCACTCTCTGGACTCCACTTTTCTCAGCTCACTCACTCTCCCTGGTCTTTTCTTTCTGCTGCTTCTGCAATAATCCCCACAGATAAGAATGCCCAGGACTTGGGGCACTTTGAGAGAACCAATGTTTTAAACAGTAAACATATAAAGAAAGATAACAAAAATAAAAAAGAGTAGTCCACACCCAGTACAACGTGATGTCGTGGAAATAGTGTGGGAGTTGGAATCAGAAGACCTGGAATTGATCCTAGTTTTGTAACTTACTCACTGGGTAACCTTGGGCATCATATTCCTATCAGTTTCCTCATCTCAAAAATAGGGATGATAATGATGACCTCATGATATTGTTCTGAACATTAGAAGCAATATGTGCAAAATCTTAGTACATTATTGGCACATAATAGGCATGAAGCATCATACTGTTATTATTATTACAGCATGGTGAGAGAGAGACAAAAACACAATAGCTACATGCACACAAAGACAATTTAAACCAAGAGGAAGAGAAAATGAAGATCTGTGTTCTGTGAATGTTAATGTTCCACAAAAGAAAGAAGTCATGGTCAAATAAAGTTAGAAATGAGAATATTAAACACAGTTTTTAAAATCCAAAACATCTTTCTATCTCATTGGCTCTAAATAAGATAATCTACAAACTTGCATTTCTTATCTGGTCATGTCCTAAGAATTGTTATAGGGTCCTAGCACACTAAAGATGATTGCGACCCAGGCAATACAGAGTAAGAAGAAACACAATTTGGGAGGTGGGGTGCAGGCACATAAGCAAATAATTAAAATAAAACTACCAGTGCTACAAGAGAGATAAATACATAATACTATATATGAGGGAATA